GAGGAGGGGGAGTCGATATAGGACTGGACTGGTGTTTTTACGACCCCATCGACCCAATTTGAATCATTTAGAAGGCAGGCTTCCGACCCCAACCTGGGCTGAGAGGTATACAACATCCAGGCAGCAAGACCCAGATACTCGATAAAAATGTTCTCGCCACTCGGGAATCGAACTCGGGTCGCCTGCGTGCCGTGCGAGAACCTAGCGTCCAATCGCTACACCAGAGACGCCGGTTCTCTCTATGACCCGTGCTGAGCGAAACCAGATTTTACTACAATTATTGTATCGGTCGTTACTTCAAGAAGACATTTAAAATATCCCCATAAAAACAATATGAGGTACTGGTTTAACGAATCCAAGGTTTTTCAAAATCAGGCAAAAACCCTCAAGTTGCAGACCTTTTCTCCTTTTCCATGAACATCTGATAGCCGAGTGAAGTAAAAATGCTGCAGTTTCTTTTTCACTTGAACGCTTATAAGTGTACACCTTTAGTTGAAGTATCCAGCACAATGTAAAGATTGATTTTAGAATCTCTGCCAGCATATTATAGGCAAAAGTACAAAGAATGCTGTGATACATGGTGCAGTATTGTATGCTGTGGCTTCAACGTCATTTCCAATATGGCTGTGAAGGTTTCACTTATAGCTTATAGTAGGAGAAAATTCCTTAAACAAGGCTAATTGAACCGTTAAGAATGTCTCGTACAGATTTTGGCTTTTGTTTCTTTCTTTCTTTCTTTGTATTAGAAAGAGGTTCACGGTGCTTACAAAACAAATAGGTCATATGAGGGTCGAATGTTAAAAGTGTTACTAGAGAGTAGCATGCAAATGAAAAAGGAGGAGAGACAAGGACTTTGATAGGAAGAAAGGAGCAAAGCACACCAGAGCACCCGCTTACCAACCACTGAGATTGAGCTATCATCGTCCACACCGCAGTCCTGCATAATATCCACAACGCCCCTCCCCTATTTGAGCAGGCTCGACTGTACTCAAGACATAGGCTATAATTCTACTAAGCACTGACCCCAAATGAACATGAGGTTCTCCCCCATGCCGACCCAGGGGTCAAGGTTACGGCTATCTCTGTGACGTCCTCCGCATCCATTGGCCCACTCCTGGGCGAAATTGGCAATGGCGTCATCCCAGATCTGTGGAGAGTTTGTAAGTTATTGTAGAGTAAAAATTAATGTTAAAGAGTTTTACGCATCCATCGACACAATTATAATTATTAAGAACGTTTGTTTTAGTAAGCTTTTTTACGGCACTTGAAACACAACTAGTTCATACCTGGACACCTGGAAATGCTATCTCTAGCTCCACCC